GATTCGTCAAAGAGTCGACATCTCATCGGCTGTCGTATTCACTGAATCAAATAATCCACCGTGAAAATATGCATTACTAGCCCAACGACCACCGCGACAGGAATGAAAGCAAACGAACGAAAGATTCTTATTCTGACCAATATTCAAGAGCATTAACTAAGAAAATACCAATTTACTACCGAAACAACTTGATTTTCCCAAAAGTTTAAAGCACCAACTCTTTGACAACTGCTTTATAACAAAGATGTACCATAACTGGCTAAAATAAGCAAATATCTGGATTTAATGCTCAGAAGCATTTCAATGCTAAGTAGAAAAATATTTCAGATTAGGCAGCGCTACGAAATTACATCTTCATCTACATCTTTCATGGACGAATCACCTTTCGAGTAGCGGATACAGACGCGTCAGACAGTGCTTCCAACATTCCCAATCATTTGCCAGAGTCTGAGTTTCGGCAGAACACAACTGGAGTCAGGAACAGACTCCTTCCATATGTTTGCACCAGTTTAATCTTGGCCATCCCCTGGGCCTTCTGCCGGTCGGATTTGCAACGAACAGTTGCTTAACCTTCCTTTCTCAAGGCATTCGTAACATATGCCCAAACGATCGCAGCTGTGACTCCTCTATCTCGAGAAGCAGAGACTCTACACCAAGGGTCTTTCGGATGTCAGTATTCCGGGCCATATCGAGACGCATAAGACCAGCGAATCGCCTAAGAAAGCCCATTTCAGCAGCTTGTACCCGTGTAAGAAGCATTTCAGTCATGGCCCATGACTCATAACAGCAGGTAAGTATGGGAATAATGATCGACTTGAATACAGAGAGCTTAGTACACAGACTCAGATCTGCTTTAATCACAATGGATCGCGCGAGTTCCCGAAGAACGCCACTGGCTACTCCAATTCGCGGGTCGATCTCTTCCTCAAACTTACCGTCACCAGTGAACATTATTCCGAGGAACTTTAACTACTCGACCTGCGTCACTGCTTCGCCGTTAATCTGAAGAGAGCAACGGACAGAAGAACGAAAAAGCACTAAGCCTTTAGTTCTAGAGGCTTTCATCCTCATACCGGCTACGTCACAATCGGATGCGATCCAGAGAGCGTTGTAGATCAGGTTCAGAAGGTGCCAATAAAACAGGATTGCAAGCAAAAAGCAGCCTGCTCGTTTCGATATCTCCTAAACCGATACACTTATCTCCTATACCGACACTGCCTTGGAAAAGCCTGACTATCAATGTACGACACATACAGGAGAGCGGACAGAACGCAGCCTTGGTGGAGACCAGCCAACGGTGAAAGGCTTCGACTTAACGCCATTTACACTGACTCAGCGCCTACCATAAGAATACAGCGATTAGATGGCAAGTAGCAGTGACCATTTATCCCATATGCTCGCAGGCATGAACACACCGTTGCGTGGGATACGATAACAAACATTTTCTAGGTCAACAAAACACTTGTACACTGGACGGGCGCACTCCAACGATTTCACGATTTCACAACAATCTGGCGCAGGCAAAATATACCGTCAGAGGTGCTTCAAACATCACAATGCTCTTCTTGTATCTTGGAGTCAGTTATTCCGTGGCACCACCTTTGTGTAAACTTTACCTGGGACGC